ATGAGGATGCCTGTGATGATGTTGTTGATGATAATGATTATAAGGATAACGATACTAATGATGATGATGATGCTGATGATGATTATAACGATGATGATGATGACGATGATGATGCTTATGATGGTGTTGATGATGACGATGATCATGGCGATGAGGCTGATGATGAAGATGATAACGACGACGAGGGTCAGGATGATGATGATGTTGCTGAGTATGCTGCTGATGATGACGATGATGATGACGACGATGTCGATGACGATGACGATGGCGATGACGACGACGATGACGACGATGATGACGATCATGACGACGGTCATGGAGATGATGATGATGATGATGATGATGATGATGATGATGATGATGATGATGACTATGATGATGATACTGCTGCTGATGATGCTGATGACGAGGATGATGCGGATGATGCTGCTGCTGATGATGCTGATGATGATAATGATGACGAGGCTTATGATGAGGATGAGGATGACGACGACGACGATAATGATGGTGACGATGCTGACGATGCCGATGGTTTTCCATGATGATGATGACGATGATGATAATGACGACGACGATGATGATGCTGATGAGGATGATGACGATGATGATGCTGTTGATGATGATGATGATTGCGATGATGATGACACTGATTTTGAAAGCGACGATGATGACAATGATGATTATTATGATTATTATGATGATGATGACGAGGATGATGATGATGCTGCTGATGATGCTATTGACGATGATGATGCTGGTGATGATGACGACGACGATGATGCCCATGATGATGGTGATGATGATGACCCTTCTTGTTATTGCTATCACTATTATGATTGTGCTGATATTGGGGACGATGTCGATGTCGATGTCGATTACGATGGCGATGTCGATGATGATGACCATGACGATGATGCTGATGATGACGATGCTGATGATGATGACGACGACTAGGGTACTGATAATGATGATGATGATGATGATGCTGATGCTGATGATGGTGATGCTGATGATGATGACGACGACGACGATGATGATGCTGCTGATGCTGATGCTGATGATGATGATTATGATGCTGCTGCTGATGGTGATGATGATGATGGTGAGGTGGATGATGACGGTCAGGCTGATGACGACGGCGATGATGATGGTGATGATGATGATGATGACGATGATGATGATGATGATGATGACGATGATGATGATCATGTTGATGATGGTAATGATGATGATGATGATGACGACGATGCTGATGATGCTGATGGTTTTCCATGATGATTCTGCTGATGATGAGGATGTCGATGGTACTGGTCATACTGATGATGACGACGCTGATCTTGACGATGATGAGGAGGATGGTTGTGGTGATGATGAGACTGCGGATGAACGCGCTTAGCATTATGGTGGCGATGCTCGCGGTGACGATGCTGCTGCTGATGAAGACGATGACGATGCTGAGGATGAATACGATTGGCAGATAGTGGTGATGCTCATTTTGGCGATGACGATGGTGATGATGCTGATGCTGATGCTGATGCTGATGATGATGATGATGATGATGATGATGATGACGATGATGTCGACGACGGCGGCGAAGGACGATGATGCTGATGATGATGTCAATGACGACGGCAATGACGATGAGGATACAGACGACGGTGATGATGTTGATGATGATGGTGATGATGCTGATGATGAAGAGGATGATGATAGTGATGCTGATACTGCTGATGATGATCGTGGCACTGCTGCTGATGATTTTGATGATGATGGCGATGTTGATGAGGATGATGATGAGGATGAGGATGTGGAGAGGGATGAGGAGGAGGAGGAGAAGACGGAGGGCGAGGAGAAAGAATCTGAGTAGGAGTAGGAGCATTAGGAAGAGGATGCGGAGGAGGATGAGGAGGGGGAGCCGGATGGGATGATGAGGTTGCTGATGCTGTTGCTGATTCTGATGATGATGATGCTGATGCTGGTGATGATGATGATGATGATGATGATGATGATGCTGATGCTGATGATGATGCTGATGCTGCTGCTGATGATGATGCTGATGCTGATGATGATGCTGCTGATGATGATGATGCTGATGCTAATGATGATGATGATGATGATGATGATGATGATGATGATGATCATGATGATGATGATCATGCTGATGGTGCTGATGATGCTGGCGGTGGTGATGATGGTGGTGGCGGTGGTGCTGAATCTGAGACTGATAGAGGAGGAGGAGGCGGAGGAGGAGGAGGAGCAGGTGCAGGATGAGCAGGATGCGGAGGAGGAGGAGGAGGAGGAGGAGGAAGAGGAAGAGAAGCGCTGCGACGCGACCTCAGGGGTCAGAGGTGCTGAAGAAGCTCGACGGTCTGGTCAGTCTCCTGCAGGTTGCGCGCTTCGCCGCGCTCTCTAACTCTCTCTATCCCGCCCTCTCGCTCTCTCTCTCTATCTCTCTCTCTCTGTCTCTTTCTCCCTTTCTGCCTACTCACCCCTCCCTTTCACCGACAGGGGATGACGATTAGCTGACGGAGGAGGAGGAGGAGGAGGAGGAGGAGGAGGAGCAGGAGGAGGAGGAGAGGTATGAGCAGGAGGTCGAAGAGAACGAGGAGGATAGAGGATGGAGGATGGAGGTTGGAGGAGGAGCAGGAGGAGGAGGACGATATTGGGAGGCGGATGGCGAGAAGGAGTTAGAGCAAGAGGAAGGGGTATGAGGCGAATAAGGGATGACGCCAATCATGATGCTTATGATGGTGCTGATGATGGTGGTGATGATGATGCTGATGGTAATGAGGATGACGACGGCGAGGAGGATGCGGATCAGGAGAAGGAGGAGGAGGCATGAGACGCATCCCTGATAATATTATACACATATGTAGGTATCTATGCATAGGCCTCAGCTCCCCACATGAACCCCCCCTTTTCTCTTGGAAGATGCCAAGGGGAAAAGGGGGGCGGAAGCGCGTTGAGTTTCGGTTCTCATCTTGCGTTGTGTTGTGTTGGTTGGAGCCAAAGCGTTGTGTTGTATATCGGGGTGTTGTGTATCGGTTGCTGTGTTGGAGACGGAGGGGGTTGAGTAGAAGGTTATTTTCAAGTTCATCTTGGGGAGGGAGCCTGTTGAGTATCGGGTGTTGTGGTGGAGAAGGAGGCTGTTGAGTACTGGGTGGTGTGTTGGAGACGGCGGGGGTAGAGTAGGCGGTTATTTTCAAGTTCATCTTGGAGAGGGAGCCTGTTGAGTATGGGGTGTTGTGTTGGAGAAGGAGGCTGTTGAGTACTGGGTGCTGTGTTGGAGACGGAGGGAGTTGAGTAGAAGGTTATGCTCAAGTTCATCTTGGGGAGGGAGCCTGTTGAGTATGGGGTGTTGTGTTGGAGAAGGAGGCTGTTGAGTACTGGGTGCTGTGTTGGAGACGGAGGGAGTTGAGTAGAAGGTTATGCTCAAGTTCATCTTGGGGAGGGAGCCTGTTGAGTATGGGGTGTTGTGTTGGAGAAGGAGGCTGTTGAGTACTGGGTGCTGTGTTGGAGACGGAGGGAGTTGAGTAGAAGGTTATGCTCAAGTTCATCTTGGGGAGGGAGCCTGTTGAGTATGGGGTGTTGTGTTGGAGAAGGAGGCTGTTGAGTACTGGGTGCTGTGTTGGAGACGGAGGGAGTTGAGTAGAAGGTTATGCTCAAGTTCATCTTGGGGAGGGAGCCTGTTGAGTATGGGGTGTTGTGTTGGAGAAGGAGGCTGTTGAGTACTGGGTGCTGTGTTGGAATCGGAGGGAGTTGAGTAGAAGGTTATGCTCAAGTTCATCTTGGGGAGGGAGCCTGTGGAGTATCGGATCGTGTAATGCGGGATTGAGTATCTGGGGCTGGTGGAAACGGGTGCACTTGCAGGGGGTGCACATCGCTCCGAACTTGAGCCCAAGAAATCTTCCAAAAAAGATCATCAAACTTGAGTCTGGGAATCGTGGGGATCATATATATATATATAAATTCATATATAATCAGGGAAAGGGGGGGTTCTTGTGGGGTTCGGAGGGCTATGTACACATACTTCGGTATGCATCTACGTATGCAATACGGTGGTACAAATCCAGCTGCTGCGGCAAGCCCCGCCAACGCGCAAGTGCAACGGCGCAGCAGGA